TCCTGAGAAGCGACAGTCCCTGGCCTAGGCCGGGCCCCCTCACCAGGTCCCTGGGCTGCAGTGGCAGATTGGTTCTAAGCTGTGGGAATGTGTCACAGCTCAGAGAACCCCAGAGCCTTACTTCCAGGAGGAACCCCCCCCCCCCACAGGAATTCAGGAGTCGCACCCTGAGCAGGCAGCCGACACCCTGACCCCAGGGCTCCTCCTGCTCCCCACCCAGACTCCCTAAGGGAGGCAGTTGCCAGGACACCAGACTGTGTGTGACCGAGGGCCAGCAGTCCATGGCTCTGAGCCGCAGCCTCCTCACCTCAGAGGGGAACTGATCTCCCCTTGGCTGGTCTCGTAGGTTGATTGTGTCACCTGGGGCCATCCATGGAAACACACTCTCTAAACAGTGAGGGTCCAGGGTAGAGAGGGGACTTCGGGGTTCCCAATGGGTGTGATGCCCTCTCTGGGCGTGGGGCTGGGAGCCCACCTTCCAGAGTTGAATCTCGGGAAAGCCCCCGCCTCTGAAGCCTGGGAAGCCCTCTGGTTCCGCCAGGTGCCCTTCCGTCTTCTCTACCACTTGTTTGCGGGATTTTTTGTTTTTTGGGGTGTTTTTTTTTTAGCAGGCAGAAGAGGCTCCAGACTTCCAGAAGGCCACGGAACCTCTCTAGAATTCAATAATGCCATTTTCAGCATTTTTGTGTTTGATTTTCTTAGCCTCCCAGAAACTCTTATGAATTTGTGTGTGTGTGTTTTTTTAAAAAAGGGAACTTTTAGGCTCCAGTACCATTTTCAATGTCTATTCCCTCTACTCAGCAACTCTGTGTCCGGGTATTTGTCCCACGGAAAAAAAAAATGTGCAATTATAAATATATTTCATAAACAGTGGCCATTCCAGCATAAGCTATAACTTTGGAACACTAAACGTGCATCAGTAGGGGGTTGGTGAAATATTTTATGGCACAGGCACATTTTTAAATTACATGCAGCTTTCAGAATGAATGAATGAATGAATGAATATCTGTATGTACCACTGACCTGGGAGTGTGTTCCTGATGTATTAAGTGAAAATAGAAAAGTAGCAAAATGGTAGTGCTGATTGTGTTTTAAATTGTAATGTCGTCTCTGTATACCTAACTACAGATACAAAATGCAAATATTAGTATGGGTATGAGGGATGGGGGGACTGGGAGAATATCACTAAATGATTAACAGTGAGTCTCCATAGGTAAAGTCCTACACACAGAGTTGCAGAATAAGGAAGACAAGCGCTAGAAATGTTACTGGAGCCTAAAACAGAAAATACAGACTTTCTCTTTCTCTAGTATGTATTCGGTAGTGGGTATTTTAAATGCAGGCAGATGTTGCACGTTTCATAAAGGCAACTTTTAATTATTTTGATGCTGAATAAGAAACTAAAATAAAAGAGGATGTTTAGAGACAGTGCCCTAATTCAAAGGAGAGACATGAATGGGAGGTTGTAAGGCACCTTATCCACTGAAGGTCAGGGCCCGGGAGCAGCAGTTTCTTTCCCTCTTTTTCCAGGAACAAGGGCCCTGGCTGTGAATAGGGCGGCGGAAGAACAGTGTAGTTCAGGTGGCTCATCTGTCTGGGAGGAAAATGCCAGCTCACCCGTTCCCTTGGGCCTGCCTGAGTGGCGAGGTGGGGAGGCAGGAGCCAGCCGGGGCTGACCTATGGTTACCCTCACCCTTCCCCCACCCAGGCTCCTATCCCCACTGCACAGGGGGCTGTGAGGTCCAAGCCCACCAGCGAACACTTTTTTATTCTTTCATCTAGCCTTCAGATTCACTTAGCTCCTTCCTCTTATCAGCAGGTTCCTACCTCTCTCTTGGGGACCCAGCACCAGGGAGGCCTGGAGTCAGGAGATGGGTTGGGACCCAGGCTTCCCCACTCCCCGGCCCTCTAACCTTGGCTGGGTGCTTTCCCTCCCTGAGCAATGACGTGGGACTTGGCCGGGACCAGGCCCCTATCCCATCCCTGTCATATTGACCAGATGACCTTGGGAAGACACTTCACAACCTCCCTCAACTGGTTTCTCCTTTGTAATCTATAATAAAAGCATAATATGCAAATCAACCAAATGATAATATGCAAATCAACCCAATGAGCCAGGTACCACTATTATTCTCATACTAGTGACCAAACGGCCGAACAGCGGAAGGACCGTCCGGATGATCTTCCGGAGGAAGCCGGGGCTGTGAGGGCCGAGGCAGCTGTCACAGCTGTGAGGGCCTACTCTTGCATTAAGTTCGTGCATCGGGCTTCTAGTCTATATATATAACAGGCTAATATGCTAAGTGTCCCTCCAACCATCCACTGACCACCAGGGGGCAGATGCTCAACGCAGGAGCTGCCGTGATGTGCACTGGCCATTTACAAAGAAACGGCACCGCAAACCTGGTGCCCACAAAGCCACACTCAGCTTCCCCCAAGTGGGACATAGGCCCTGCCACCACCCTGGAGCGACAGCCCACCAAATCACAGCCAACGCTGCCGAGACCCCATGGCGCAAAATGCGGCCCACAGCCCAGCCTAACCCGGAAATGGTGGCTGTGGGCGCCGGGTACCAGCTTCCTCTCCCTAGCAACTAGCCTCCTTGTAGTTTCTTCAGCCCAGGAACATGACTTACTTTATAGCCAGGTGCAAACATTTTACACTTTAACCAAATGTCTGTGAAGAGTTTTCCTGTGCCTCATCTCATTTGGTCCTCACAGAAGTCCTGGAGTAGGTAGATAGGAGACTCGGTAGAATCCTATTTTCTTTTCATTAGCCAGAAAACGGAGATTTAGAAAGTTTAGAAACTTGACCCGACGGAAAAGAAGTAAGAAATAGTAGATCTTGAAAATGACTTCAGGTTTTCTCACTGCACAGAATATAGTCAAACACTGCTGCAGTTAAATATTTTACCCTTTGTTCTCCCTGTGTGACCTACAATAATAATGTGCTTTGTGTTGATATTTACTGCTGTGTTGCTAACAATGAGCTGAAAGAGAATTAATTTCCAGCTCCACTGGGCTGGAAAAAGTTTAGCTAAATCAGAAAGCAGGTCTAATTAAGCAACTTTATTTTATGTCTATAAAAGGCCAAGTTGACTCACGCATGCGCGATACATAAAGTTCTCACTGGCGCCAATCGCACACGTGTGTTTCCATCTGTCATTGTCGATTGTGAATTTGTTTGGCCTTTATTCTATATCTATAAAAGGCCAAGTTGACTCACGCATGGGCGATACATATAAAGTTCTCGCTGGTGCCAATCGCACACGTGTGTTTCCATCTGTCATTGTCGATTGTGAATTTGTTTGGCATTTCTATTATAGAGAAAGGGCGAATAGCGATATTAAAATATTTCTTCTAATTAATTTCCTTTCAATGTGCACGGATCCATGCACTGGGTCATTAGTATGAGAATAATAGTGGTACCTGGCTCATAAGGTTCTCGTTTGGGTCAAATGAGAAAACGTGTGTGAAGCAGGACAGCCCTGGCACCTAGTAACGGCTCAGCAGTGCTCAGCTGCGTTTTATCATCCCTGATCTCTGCACAGCAGCATTAGCTCCACTCACTGCTGGGGCAATGGAGGCCTGCGTGGTGATCCACCAGGTCCAGTGTGGAGCAGCCTGAGGCGGCAGGAGCAAGCCTCCTGCCCTCCAGACAGAGGCTTTTTCCGTGAGGGAGGAGAATCCCGTCTGGAATGTGCTTGTTTATTCTCTTCGCAGGGTCACAGGGTGGATGCAGGTCTTGGCTTATTCATCGGCTACCACAGCCAGCAGAGAAGGGGTCAAGTCAGGACCCCGGAGGGTGGGCTTGGCCTGGCTGGGCCCTGCCTCTGGCGGGGTTTCCCCTGGCCTGGCTCAGCTGCTCCTGAGTTGGCGGCTGGGCTGGGACGTGAGTCAGAGCTGCCCCGTCTCCCTTCCTCTCCCCAGAGCAGCCACAGCCCCAGACTCCTGGAGGCAGTCGAGGGAGAGGCCCCAAAACAGGGTGCCCTCCCCCAGCAAGATGCCCCTCCCCAGCTCAGCGAGAGCAAGGGGTGGCCAAGGTCACACCGTGAGCTGTGACAAACCTGGTTCCACCTCAGATGACCTCTCCCAAAAGGCCCAGGTGGGAGGCCCAGGAAGGTCCAACCTGGGCCCAGGACCCCTGCAGTTGGCCCCCTGCCCCTGGTAGCTCTATGGCCTCTGGCCTCTGCTCCTGCCAGGGTCTCCCAGCTGGGTCGGGCAGTGGAGCCAATGGGAGGAACCGAGCTGACCAACAGGTACCAGGACGTCTGGCTCACGGCAGCCCCACACCCCTGAACTCCTGCAGTCATGAGGGGCGGGGGTCCTACCAGGTGTGCACCCCTCTGCCCAGCCTGGCGAGCCTGCCCTCAGAGCCACAGCCAGCCCCTCTCCCTCCCTGGCCTTGCCCTGGCTGCACGCCCCCAACATCCTTCTTCGTTCCTCTTCCTCTCCCCTTCACCCTGTCTCCTCACTTCTTCCTGCTCTGTCCCCTTGGGTGCTCTGTCTGCCCTCCTCCTACCTGGGACCCCATTGCTCACGGGGCCTGGATCCTGGGCTGTAGTGGACGCCGTGCCTCTCAGGAGTCACTGCGGACGCAACCTGGCCCCAGGCAGAGTGGATGGGGAGGGCGGGGCGGGGGGGAAGCTTAATAGCCAAAGCCAAAGCACATGGTGGCGTGGGGTGGGGTGGGTGGGGTGGGACGGCAGGAGGGCTTCAGGCTTCTGAGCCTGTGAACAGTCCTGCCCACCCTGGGGCCAGGCACCTGCAGAGCCAGGGGAGCCCTCCCATTTCCCAGCTTGGAAAACCGAAGCCCAGTGTCCAGGTCACCCAGCTACTAGCAAGGGGTGGGGTGTGAAAATGGCCATCTTCCATGGAAACCAGACTCAGTGCTGAAGGGACCTGCGTGGGGTCCCTGTGGCTGAGGTGAGGCCTGTTGGCCCCATTCCACTCCTGCCACCAACCAGACACAGGTTCCCAAAGCCGCCAGAGATCACCGAGTCTGTGAGAAGCACCAGTTTAATATTAAAATCTTTCCCTTACAAAAAAGTACACGGATAGGAAATTTTGCTGGCATATAAAATAGCACTTCTGTTGTATAAATGTGAGTTAATGTGAGTCCTAAAAATACTTGTAAACCTAGGTGATTACATCTTTGGTACCGTAGTGAGCCCAGTCCCTCTCCTCAGGGGCCCGGGGCAGGGAGGTGCCAACAGCATAGGGGGTGGTGCCACCCCCTTCACCCCCTGCCGTCTTGGCCACAGCCCTCGCTCCTTGAGCACTTCAATGCCCACTGGGCTGGGTGGCTGGCAGAGACAGTGAGGTGAGTGGGCCTGGGCAGTGACAAGCCAGACCTCAGGGATGGGGCAGCTGGCAGGTGAGAAGGCAACCCTCAGAGTACCCACCTCTTGTACCCCTCTCCCAGGTTCCCCTCCAAGTCTTCTTGTCGTTTCCAGGGCCCCCGGGGGCCCTAACTGTGCATTGTCTTTGGCACAGACCTGGACAGCAGGTGCTGGAGCGGGAGGCGCACCAGGCGCTCTGATTGGCCCTCTCCGCCTCTGTGGCCCCGGGCAGCTCCAGAGGGCATTGTGGGTGCTGAAAGGGCCCCAGTGGTCTTCCCATGTCCCTGCTGTCCCTCGAGTCCAGGCCTGGGCAGCTGGCCTTTTGGAACTTGCCGGGGCCTGGGGAAGGGGCACGTTGCTGAATGCCTGGAGTGTGGTATGTGGACTGGAATCTCAGATCCCAGCTGACCTCCAGGATGGAGGTTTGGGGTGTTCGGCTTTGTTTTATCCGGGCAAGTGTGCACCCTAGGAATATTTCAGAATGTTCGTGCTGGCAGGCACCAGAAGTCAATGAGTCCAACCTGCTCATTTCAACAGGGAAAGCGGGCCCAGAGAGGGCCAGGGATTCCTGCACGGTCTCTCGGCGGGTCCAGTGCGCATACGGTCCACAAACTGGTCCTTATGTGTGGACACGTCGCACAGGCACGTCACACACTCATCACAGATGTGGGTCCGTCCGGCCCTGGAGACTGGTGGTGGAATAAGACTGGCAGTGATGAGGACGCAGGAGCCAGGAAGACATGGACAGGGCACTCTGTATGGGGAGGTGGCTCTGTGTGCCTGGGGCAGGGGCTACAGGCCCGAATGTCCTGGCCCTGGCTCAGCCCCTCGCTCTCATTAAGCATGGACGGCCCCAGACCAGCTCGGGCCTGGGAGAGTGAAGACTGGCGTTGAGGGAGGAGGCAACACTGTCCAAGGCCAGGCCCCAGCTAAGCCAGGAGCCAGGGACACCAGGTCCCCTCCCCAGCTTTGGGGCAGATAAAGTACAAGGAGAGAGCCGAGCTCCTTGAGGGGTGGCTGGCAGAACAGAAAACAGTTCCTCTACCACCTCATGAACCTTGAGAATCTCCCAGGATTCCAGCTTCCCCCCTCCCCTGTCAGCCAGGGGGAGAACCCCAGATTGTGGGTCACCAAGTCCGACTTCCCCATCTTACAGATGGGCCAACTGAGTCCTTTGGGAGAACTCTGGCTCAGAGTCACATGGCCTCCCCAGAACAGAGGGCTGGTCATGGCCGCTGCAGGGCTCCTGCCTCCTAAGCCAGCCCCAGGGGTTGGGGTGCAACATGTCAGGAGCAAAAGCTGATAGGACAGCGATGGGAGGCCCGGCAGGCCAGGCCAGCAGGCGCAGGGTGCTGGGAGGTAGAGGGGGAACTTCGGGCAGGGCAGGGTGGGGGCCAGCCCCCTACAGGAAGCTGTCCTCTGCCTCAGCCTGGTGCCCGGGGCAGCTTGAATCCGGCAGCCACTCCGGCTCTGCCTCTGGCTGCACCTGGGACTCAGGCTGTGGCTCTGGTTCTGGTTCCTCTTGGGGCTCCAGGGGGCTGTCACAGGAGATGGTCGAGGAGGTGTTGACTTCATTCAGGGTGGAGCTAGAGGGAGAAGGCCAGTGAGCGAGAGGCTGAAGGAAACCACAGCAAAACAACAACGGCGTTCAAGAGCTTTGTGCCCGGCCTGGCACTGTGCACGTTATGCCCTTTGGCTCATTAATCCTTGTAAGGACTATGCAGGGCAGGCACCACGAGGAAAGTGCCGCTCAGAGAGGTTCAGTCATTGTCCGGCACCACACAGCGCTTCAGAGCCGATCCGGCTCCTCCAAAGCCTACTCCTCACTCATCAGTGTCGCCATCTCCTGCACCCCTGAAGGTGTATACTGCCTCATTTAACCCTCACAGCAACCTCCAAACTGAAGGGCTTATGGTTTTTATTTTACAGATGAGGAAACTGAAGTTCAGAGATGGCAAGCAACTTGCCTGAGGGCACACATGGGGGCGGGGGGGCATTCACACCCCAAGCTGTTTGAACCCTGAGCTTAAGTCCTCTGCACACTGTCTACCGGAGCCTTGACTGTTAGCTGCTTCCACAGGCCGGGGGCCTTCTAAGTCCTGTGTGCTCCTCGTGCTCAGAGAGAGCAGGCGCCTGCCGGTCTCCAAGCAGAGCTGGGACCCAGGTGGGGCTCCTGCCACTTCACCGTGGGCTGGGTCTGGCCTCATGGGGAACCCTTCTCTCCAGCCAAGGGGGGACACTGTCTGAACAGCAAGTCCAGGCAATAGCTGGGACTTCCTCCAAAGCCCTCCCCATACTCTAACTTCACCACATCCCAAGGCAAGGAAAGCACGAACCTGCTTCCCAGTCTGAATTCTGGCCTGAACTGTAGGCACCTCTGCCTCCTACAACCACTCCAGCTCCCCAGAGCCCCCAAGGCATGGTTCTAACACAGACCTCAGGCCTGGGGCTGGCAATGCCCCGTGGTCACACATGGGAGCTGGGGTGCTAATTAGGTTTCTTCCTCTTCTCCTTATGGCTAGGACAGGGCCTAGGGGAGAGCAGATGGCCTGTTTGTTGTTTAAATTTATAGAGAGAGCCGGACTGGTGTGGCTTCGTGGTTGAGCATTGACCTATGAACCAGGAGGTCACAGTCGGATTCCTGGTCAGGGCACGTGCTCAGGTTGCAAGTTTGTTCTCTCTCTCTCTCTCCTTTCCTCTCTGAAATCAATCAGTCAACTTAAAATAGACTTTTATTGATTTCAGAGAGGAAAGGAGAGAGAGAGAGAGAACAAACTTGCAACCTGAGCACGTGCCCTGACCAGGAATCCGACTGTGACCTCCTGGTTCAAAGGTTGACACTCAACCACTGAGCCACGCTGGCTGGGCCTATGAGGGCTCCTTTAAAGGAAACAACTACTTTGCAGATAAATCCCAGCCTATTCTTTCTCTCACCAACCTGCCCTTTCCACTTGAGGGCATCAGAGGTCAAATGAGTTCAATTCACTGGCAGGAATAAGTGCTCACTCTAGTAACTTACTTCTAAGGCAAGCCTGATGCCATAGACACACACACACACACACACACACACACACACACTGTGCACAGTATTGCACACCCTGGGCCACAGTGATTACCTGGCAAGGCTGGGGGAGCCCTCCAATGGGCCCTCATCAGCAACCTCGGGCTTGGGGTCAGGCAGGGGGATGATATAGTCATTGTCACCCTCATTGGGCTGCACAGCAGTATAGAGGACTGAGCTGGTGTCCAGTGGGGATCGGAGGCCATGGAAGCCAGGGAAGCGGGCTTGGGACCGAAGGACAGCCGGGTGGTCGCTCCTCAGAAACTCCTCGTCCACCTGCTGGTACTTCTGCTCCGAGGGGGAGGGGGAACCCAAGAGACAGGGAAGACCAGGTCAGAAAAGCCTTTAGGGGTCGTCCAACAGTTAGATTCTGGCCCAGCCACTCGCGTCTTGTGGAAATCGGCAACTGGTGCTCAGAGAGGAAGCACAATTGTCCAAAGTCTCACAAGACAAGGTGAGCTTAGGGCCACCCAGGGAGGGGGCTGCCAGGGGACCAGCACCCGAGACGCTAACATGTCACCCACTTCAGACCAGACAGGTGCTGTCTCATCCTGCCTCAACCTCCTGGGTCTCATTTCCCAAACTTACGAATGGGGACCACCCGACTCCAGCTCACGGGTCCCTGAGTGTAACCTGGGGCGGGAGCGGGGTTAGGAATGGGCCTAGGGAAGGGGCTGTGTCTGGGCCAAAGGAGACGGGCATCTCCCTGCTCTAGTTCCTGCTGTGGGCAGGGAGGTGTGGCCCAGCCGGCTCCATCTGCCGTGTCTGAGCCTGGATGGGGCCCAAGTGGCCAGGCCCTCAGCAGTCATCTAGCCTCAGGAAGTTCAGGCCTCTGATGGAGACACAAGATTTGGCCCAGGTGAGACGGCGTGAGGCAGGATGCAGGATGGCGGGCGCCGTGGGCTCCCTTCTCTACTTTAAACCCATCAGCTTCCACGTGGGTTTCATTTCAGAACTCTGTGCTGCTAAAATAAACTCTTGTCTCCAGCCCATCCCTTATTGGTTCCAGCAGGGAAACTGAGGTCAGGTGAGGGTACAGGGTGGCCCCCCAAATACCGGCATGTTACAGCAGCTTTGTGCTGGTGTCTGACTTCTGGACCAGAACTCTCCGTCCCTCCCCCACGCTGCCTCCACATACCTTTTTGTAACCCTCGCCCAGCAGCCTCTCCAGAAGCAGCACCAGCTGGGAGAAGGGGGGGCGAATCTCAAACTTCTCTTCCCAGCACTTCTGCATGATCTCGTAGCTGGGGAGAGGCACAAGGGGTCAGGGTCTCTGACACAGGGCACGGGGGGTGGGGTTGGGGGGAGGCGGCTGCCACCCCGGAAAGGTGAGCCATGAAGGATTGGGGAAGGGAGTGGACAGGTGTTGTTTTCCCATTGTTGCACCTGGATATCCCCTTGGGAAGCCCTCCTTCCAGCCCCGGCTCAGTGGTTCAGTGGGGTTGGCCACACCTGGGTGAGCACGTGACCCAGGCCTGGCCAGTAGGAGTCCGCATCCCCTCAGCTCAGTGGCTGGTTCTGGATGGGCACGTGACCCCAGCTGAGCCACATCAATCAGCTCTGGGTCTTTTGCTGGAACTGAGGTGAAAGCAGCAGGACGCAGCCACTGGGCAGTGCCAGCCTGAATAGGAGGCCGGGCAGAGGAGAGCGGAGCCCAGGGTAGAAGGAGAGATCGCCGATGACCTCAGCTGCACACCTGGATCCAGCCAGACCTCGGTTTTCTAGATCTCTGCACCAATCAAGCTACTGTTGGCTTAAGCTGGTAAAGTGGGGCATCTATGTTTTGCGCCCAAAACGTTCTCCCAAATGCGCCACTCACATCTCGTCGGAGGCGTGGGCAGGCTGGGCCATGCGGTAGCCCCGCTTGATGGCATTGTAAAACTGCTCGTTCATGGGCAGCTCTGGGTAAGGGGTGCCACCTGCCAGGGAGCAAAGACAAGAGAGAGATACACGGGCTCAGGCGTGTTGAAAAGTGTTGAGAAACCTTCGTGCCAGGGCTGGGTGGTGGGGAAGGTGACCTTGGGATTGAGAACTGTGGCTCCTTCATGGCTCTGGACAGGCTGCAACCCTCCCAGAGCCAAGCAGGCTTTCGGACGTCACTGTCCAAACCCCTGGACGCTCAGATGGGGAGGTAAAGAGGCCCAGAGCGGGCAAGAGCCTTGCCAAGGACACACAGCAGTAAGAAAGCAACAGAGCTGGGCCCTGAGCCTGAGCCCCGATCGCTGTCCCAGAGTCTGATCACTCAGAACTCTGTGCTGCTAAAATAAACTCTTGTCTCCAGCCCATCCCTTATTGGTTCCAGCAGGGAAACTGAGGTCAGGTGAGGGTACAGGGTGGCCCCCCAAATACCGGCATGTTACAGCAGCTTTGTGCTGGTGTCTGACTTCTGGACCAGAACTCTCCGTCCCTCCCCCACGCTGCCTCCACATACCTTTTTGTAACCCTCGCCCAGCAGCCTCTCCAGAAGCAGCACCAGCTGGGAGAAGGGGGGGCGAATCTCAAACTTCTCTTCCCAGCACTTCTGCATGATCTCGTAGCTGGGGAGAGGTGCAAGGGGTCAGGGTCTCTGATACAGGGCACGTGGGGGGCGGGGATGGGAGGCAGCTACCACCCCGGAAAGGTGAGCCATGAAGGATTGGGGAAGGGAGTGGACAGGTGTTGTTTTCCCATTGTTGCACCTGGATATCCCCTTGGGAAGCCCTCCTTCCAGCCCCGGCTCAGTGGTTCAGTGGGGTTGGCCACACCTGGGTGAGCACGTGACCCAGGCCTGGCCAGTAGGAGTCCGCATCCCCTCAGCTCAGTGGCTGGTTCTGGATGGGCACGTGACCCCAGCTGAGCCACATCAATCAGCTCTGGGTCTTTTGCTGGAACTGAGGTGAAAGCAGCAGGACGCAGCCACTGGGCAGTGCCAGCCTGAATAGGAGGCCGGGCAGAGGAGAGCGGAGCCCAGGGTAGAAGGAGAGATCGCCGATGACCTCAGCTGCACACCTGGATCCAGCCAGACCTCGGTTTTCTAGATCTCTGCACCAATCAAGCTACTGTTGGCTTAAGCTGGTAAAGTGGGGCATCTATGTTTTGCGCCCAAAACGTTCTCCCAAATGCGCCACTCACATCTCGTCGGAGGCGTGGGCAGGCTGGGCCATGCGGTAGCCCCGCTTGATGGCATTGTAAAACTGCTCGTTCATGGGCAGCTCTGGGTAAGGGGTGCCACCTGCCAGGGAGCAAAGACAAGAGAGGAGATACACGGGCTCAGGCGTGTTGAAAAGTGTTGAGAAACCTTCGTGCCAGGGCTGGGTGGTGGGGAAGGTGACCTTGGGATTGAGAACTGTGGCTCCTTCATGGCTCTGGACAGGCTGCAACCCTCCCAGAGCCAAGCAGGCTTTCGGACGTCACTGTCCAAACCCCTGGACGCTCAGATGGGGAGGTAAAGAGGCCCAGAGCGGGCAAGAGCCTTGCCAAGGACACACAGCAGTAAGAAAGCAACAGAGCTGGGCCCTGAGCCTGAGCCCCGATCGCTGTCCCAGAGTCTGATCACAGCCCTGCCAGGCTGGAGGTATGAGTGGTCAGGGAGGGTGCCCTGCCAGGCCGCTGAGGACTGTGGGGAGAAGGAGGCATACCCAGGGTGAAGATCTCCCAGAGAAGGATCCCAAAGGACCACACGTCGCTCAGGGTGGTGTAGAGGCTGTTGAAGATGCTCTCGGGGGCCATCCACTTCAGCGGCAGGAAGGTCTGTGGGAGGGCGGGTCGGTCTGAGGGTGAGGAGGGGCCGAGCCCCACCCTGCACCTGGACGGGAGGCGGGGGGAGCGGGAGGGGGGAAGGGGAGAGACCTGGCAGTTCCCACCCAGCTCCTCTCCCTCCCTGGTCCCTGAGGGCCTATCTGCTGGCACACGGTTCCCATGTCCATCCCAGTGCTGGCCAGAGGGTCAGGCGGCTGAGTTCCTTTCCCGCAGCTGTGGTCATGGTCACCCCAGGGTCTGAGGCTCCTCACGGAACAGGCTTCCTCCCTGACTGGAGAGCCCCTGACTGAGCTAGCAGGGCAGCGTGGGAGCCAGGGACATGCCAAGGTCCACCCGGCTCTGATTCTGGCTGCCTCCGATCTCTGCGGCCTAGCGTCCCTCCAGCTCTGGGGTTCACTGTCCCAATGTAGAAAGTGGGCACACGAATGGGAGGCAGGGTGGTCATATTTTAACCAAATACTGCCTGCCACCTATCCATCTGTCTCAGCTGACACCTCGGCTTCCTCCTCTGCCTCCAGCCACCGTTGGGACAACACATTTGGCCTGCTCCCCTCCAAACTCCCCGGGACCCATTACAGCTGGTCCCTTGCCCCCTGTCATGACCAGCAAATCTGAGCCGGAGCTCACTCGGCAAGCCTCAGCATCTCTGCCCGCTCCCACCCCATGCCCAGCTCGTGGCTCCCTTCCTGTCCCTGCACACATGGCTGGGCAGGCAGGGCCGTCACTGCTGGGCAGGTCAGACCACGAGGACCCCTGACCCGATCCCCTCTGAGCCGCAGCCAGGCTGACCGGGAGGGGCAGAGACGCAGGGGGTGGGGAAGGTACTCACGCTGCCTTTGGAGATGTAGTTAGAGTCCCGCATGATGTCACGAGCAAGGCCGAAGTCACAGATTTTGACCAGCTTGCCCTCACAGATGAGCACATTCCTGGCTGCCAGGTCTCGGTGGACACACTGGGGGAGGGGAGGATGGGAGCTGAGGCCCTGGGGCAATTGTGGGGAAAGACCCTCTGTGTCAAGTGCTTTGGGAAAAATGCATCACATCCAGATGAGAGGGGCCACGTGGGGTGGGGGACCACACGGGGGAGAGGGACCACGTGATGAGGGCATTCACTGTCCTCATCCACCCGACGGGGCGAAGCTACTGTGTAGAGCAGTGCACCTGGAGGACCCTGGGTGGCTGGGTGACCCACCTCCCCATGACCTCCATCTGCCCACTGGGACCACACGTACATTCTTGGAGGCCAGGAACTCCATGCCATTGGCCACCTGGTAGCTAAAGCCCACAAGATCCGTGTAGCTAAGCACTGGGGACTCGTTGATCAGGGTCGCTCGACAGGTCCTCTCGGGAGCTAGAGGAGAGCAGAAGGTCAGCACGTCTTGTTCCCATGGCCCACAGGCCTCTGCTCTTTGGCTCCTGGAGGCTAACTGTCCGAGACAGGGGCTACTGATCCTCTACATCTCCCCCAAAGGAAAGCAATTTCCAAATATCTAACTGGAACCTCTCCTACTTTACCAGAGCCTTTCTTGTCCAGAAAAACTGTCAGCATTTGCCCCGGACCACTCGGCCTTGCCTGCCCTTTACAGGGGCGCCAGCTCAGCCTGGGGCCTACTCTGAGCTGATCCCTCTTCCCCAAGGCCCAGGAGGCCAGGTACTCCCCGACTGTAGCTTCCCCTCCATGTAGGCTGCATGTATATGTCTGGACCCAGAAACTGGGGTTCATATTGGGGCTCCACCACAGCAGCTTTGGGCAGGTGGCTGCCCTCAGTTTCTGCATCTATGAAATGGGCACAAGGCCAGCTCCCTCCCAGGGCTGTTCTCCAGCGGGACATGTGAAAGGCTTTGAAAAGAATGCGTCACTGCGCAGGTGCGAGGGCCATACAGGTGAGAGGACACCGCGCACCCACCAGAGGGGACGTAGTTATCGTAAGGAGCCATGTAGTTGGAGGACTCGATGTCTGCATATTTGATGTCTCCTTTCATGTCCAGCATGGGCACATAGTCCACCGATTCGTCCTTGCTCATGTCCATGTAGCCACCGTCACTCTCCCCGGGAGACATGTGGCTGGGGGCGAGAGGAGCGTCACAGAAGGAGAGGTCACAGGCTTTCCCTTCTTGTCCCCCTCCTGCCCCTCTGCTCACCACTGGGGCCTCAAGGCCCCGTCACTCAGGTGTTTCTTCTCTCCCTCACTCAGTCCTCCTCCAGTCTGTCACGGTCATGTGAGTGACCTCGAGAGCCCTTTCAACCAACCTGTGGGGCCCTGAGTTGGGCCCTGGGCCTGCCAAGATGACATAAGACCCAGTGTGTGTCCTCAGAGAGCTCAGGCCAAGCTATGATCTGAATGAAGCCTCTGCCTGCAGCATCAGCTCCCTGAAGAGCTGGGGAACTATAGACACGTGTCTCTATAGGTGGAAAAAAGACTGGAAGAAAATGGATCAAAATGTTGGGGAGGACAGGGACGAGTTTTACTGTCTTTTAATGCTTTTCTAAAGTTACTCTTGTCTCTGCAATAACTACATATTGCTATTGTAACCAACAAGAGAACGAAGGTGTTATTTTTGGAAAAGAAGAAGGAAGGGGCTAGGTTGACCTCAGGGCACGGAGAGGCTGGTGTGCAGAGGGTGTGGGAGCTACAGCGAGGAGTAGGGCGTGGAGTCAGGCCTGGGGACCATGGGAGGGACCAAGGGGTCACATCTGCAGTGCTTAGCACAGGGCCTAGCACACTGCAGACAGCCAGTAGGTGGCAGCAGACCCCACCATTAACATCAGTGTTATTGTCATGCCTTCTGGGGTGGCCAAGCCCCAGGCCCACTCTACCCTCCCCAGCCTCAGCTTCCTGTACTAGACAAGGAGGGAGCAAGCAGGTGCTCCTCGGGCCTCCCCACCTTCCTCCAGGTACCTGGGCAGCGGGAGCCCGACGGGCAGAGCGTTGCTGTAGAGCTCGGTGCCGGGCTGGCGGCGCTTGTCGGAGCAGTGCTGCAGGAAGGTGTGCTTGTTGCGGTGCAGGTAGTCCACCAGGTCCCCGTAGCGGCAGTACTCGGTGATGATGTAGATGGGCCCTGCGGAGGGACAGGCTCAGGGACAGTCCCCAGGGAGGCCTCGGCTTCCGTTAAGGGCCATGAGAGTAATGACAGGCTGCACGTGGGAGAGGAGGCTTGGTACAAAGGCAAAGAGGCTTTGGCTCCAGGCAAACCTGGGTTCTTTTCCTGCCTCTGTAACCATGAGCAAGGTGTGTAGTTTCCCTGAGCCTGACCTTCCCCATCTGTTAAAGGGGCCAGCTGTTGTTGATAGGTTTTCAAACTGAAGCTTATTTCGGACCCCAGTTTATAAAGCAAATAGTGGCAATTATTTACTATCAGGTTACTGCTCAAATTTAAATACAGTACATTTACTTAAAGTCAATCCGTGGGAACTTGAAGATATTAATGGGAACAAAAGTTGTGAAATGGGGTGATCACTGCAGACATAACTGGCCTGTGTGTGCAATGTACTTCTGTGTTTTGTTTTGGTTGTGCAATATTGAGGAAAATCCCAAACCTCACAATAAGCAACTGTAAATGGCAATAACCTTGTTTTTGCAGCCTAACAGCCTATCTTGTAATCACAGTTTCAAATAAACATGCTTAGCCAGAAAGGCTTGATTCTATGACCTGAATGAAGGCAGCTCCCAGTTAGCAGGCTGGTGGTCTCCAGTAGTGGGGACACAACTCATCTCAGTGTCGCATGAGCTATCCTTTATTACAGTTGTTAAAATGTATCAAGAAAAAAATAAAACAAAACAAAAAAACAAACACAGACAACAGTATGGTGATTGCCGGGGGGGAAGGGAGAGGTGGATGAGGAAAAAGGGGGGATAAACGGTGGTGGAAAGAGACTTGACTTTGGTGGTGAGCATACAATGCAGTGTGCAGGTGATGTTTTGTTGAGTTGCACACTTGAAACCTGTATGGTTTTATTAACCAACTAGAGGCCCAGTGCATGAAATTTGTGCACGGGTAAGGTCCCTAGGCCTGGCCAGTGATCAGGGCTGATCTGTGGGGCGATTGGCAGGGTGATCGGGGCCCCTGCTTGCACCACCTTGGCTTGCCTGGCGCCACCTGCTCGCCGGTCCCACCCCTTGCCACTGCTGGTCAGGACCTGCAGGCTGGGGGCAGATCCTGCATTGAGCGTCTGCCCCCTGGTGGTCAGTGCACGTCATAGCAACTGGTCATTCCACCGTTTGGTCGATTTGCATATTAGGGTTTTGTATAGATAGATGTCACCCCAATAAATTCAATTATAAAATATATTGCAAAAATTTAAAAATGTCAGAGGATCCCTTAATTTGGGAACCATGGACTGATGGCCTGAACAGTCCTCTGGCCTCGTCAGTGCTGTGATGCTGTGCGTTTCTAAATCCCACATCCATCTGGCTCTGTAAAGTAAGGGTGTGTCCTGATGTCCCTGGACTGAGGAGCGGTAGAGAGGGCCAGGCGTTGGCCACTGGCATTTCCCAGAATCCTCTGGGCAATTGGGTCTGTACCTCCTTTGGTGCAGGCTCCCAGCAGATTGACCACGTTCAGGTGGGGCCCGAGGTGACTCATGATCTTCAGCTCTGACATGAGGGCTTGCTTCTCGCTGCTGCGGGCTGTGGCTGAGGGAGAGAGGGGGCTCAGGCCTGGCCCCCTCACGGAGGCCCCACGGAGGCCCCACTGGGGCCTATTCTGGCCCAAGTCTGTGCTGTAAGACACAGGTGGCCAAGGGTGGCAAGGACACACATGCGAGGAGAGGGGAAGAGGTGGGGGGAGGGAGCAGGGGAGGGAAGAGGCTGCCAGAGGTGGGAGCGGGGTTTGGAAGCCTCTTTCCTCAGAGTGGGGCTGGCCGCACGCAGAGTGACTGTACTCCTCGTGCCCAGCGAATCCGAATCCGAATCTGAATCAGGCCTGGCCTGCTCTGGGAGTGCCTGGTGTGCGGGGACGGGCAGGAGAGAGGTGGGGGGTGCTCCCAGGACTCACATTTCAGCATCTTGACGGCCACTTTCATAGTGGCCTGAGAATGGCTCAGGCCGTGAGCCGTGGCCTCCACCACCTGCCCAAAGGCCCCAGAGCCGAGGGTACGTCCTGGGAAAAGATGATCCCTCAGCTCCTGGCCCACCAGGAAGCTGCATCCCCGCCCTCAACCACCCTGGACTTAAGGTGTTTCCCCCAATGAGGCTCCTAAAACCACAGCGCTTCACAGTCCTTCCTGGTGTCTCATCGAAGTCCTGTCTGCTTTCTGGCCCATCTTAGTCCCTGGAAGCCTTCCTCCCTCCCCAGAGGGGAGCACAGCTCCTCTGCACCCCTCAGCCTCCCAGCTAGATTAAGCACAGGCCTGTCCTCAATTAATACTTCCTTTCTTGTCACAAAGGGTCCCATCTCACACAGTCATGGGATCGTAGGACCTCCATGCTGGATGGTCCCTGGGGGATCGTCTTGTCCCCATTGTACAAACGGGGGACTGAGGGCCGAGAGGGCAAGACATCCATCAGCCCTAAGTCTCAAAGCTAGTCACGGCAAAGCTGGGACCAGACCTCAGGTCATCTTCCCACCCGCCCCGAGTCCACACACTGCCTGTGAGGTCTCCTCGAACTGACCAAGCACAAGCTGGTCCCGGGGCAGCTCCCAGGTGGAGTCGTAGGGCAGCTGCATAGGGTCCACGTAGATGTACTCATGGCCATCGGAGCTCACAGATTCAATCACCTTCCATCGGATCTCATAGCGGGGCTTCTGCAGGACCAAGACAGGGGATGGGTCATCGGAGGGGGTCTTGAGGCCCCCTAGGTCCAGTCCCTTATGGAACGGATGGGGCAGGAGACCCAGAGGCCCAGAGAGGGGCAGGGGCACAGCTGAAGTCACACAGCAAGTTATGGATAGAGCCAAGGCCTTCATGGGTTCAGTGGGAACCGATGCCAAGGGGCTAAGAAGTGGCTGAGGAGTAGCTGACAGCCAAGGGCCCAGCTCATCAGAACCTCCTCCCCAGCTTCTCTCAGAGCCTCAGCTGCTCCTCAGATGGGAATAAAGGAGCACACGGCCCCAGAACGTGACACCAGGCAGGGATACTCTGCTGGATGAGGACAGCCCCTCTCCACGCTGGGTCAGTCACAGCAGGAATCTCAGAAAGTTGTAACGGTGGGATCTTGAAACCATGAAGTGTTGAAATCACTGGACTGGAATCTTAGAAAGATAGACTATGTGGTACTGTACTCCTAATTTAGGAATCTTAAAATGTCTGAAGCATGGAATGATGAAATCTCAGAACAGAACATGGAAATTACAGAGTAACAGGATTAGAATGCAGCTCAGCAGGATCCTGGAGTCTCTGTGGGTAAGAGTTGGAAGGATCCTGGGGCCCATGCAGTCTACCCGGCAGGTCCCATACCCTGTGTCTGGGAGGGGCAGGAGTGATGTCCGAGCAGGACCCGGACAGGGGAGCAATAGAGACAGGGAACCCTGATGGCCTAAGACCGGGCTGCTGGGGATGGAGGTAGCTCAGACTTCCAGCATCACTCTATGCCATTTTACACCTGAACTCTGTGCTGGGCCTCAGACATGGCCAGATCCTGCGGGATTCAAGGACAGGGGTGGGGGGATCGGGGGTCCATACAATACAATGGTGTGCCTGTCTGTATCCCTTAGGCAAGGGCGGGGCTTACCTTCTGCCAGAGCATGATGAGGATGATGAGGGAGATGATCGTGAGGACCACCAAAGCCAGGATGGCCGAGATCACCACCACCTTGAAGGGCAGGGCTGGAGGTAGAGACAAGAGCTGGCCATAAGCCAACAGGGCACTTGGCAGCTGCCTTTCTCACCCCACCTCCAGTACCGCAAATCCCTCTCTGCCCACCCTGCCCAGAACAGAAGCCCCCTCTCGTTCCCTTCCACAGGCTATAATGTCAGACCCTCAGCCTCTCCCTCTGGGCCACACCTTCAGCTTCTCCCATAAATACCCATGCCCTTCAGTAACTACCCACTGTTCAGATCGCTACGGCCTCCCTATCCCTTCAGCCCTTGCAGGGGTCAGTGTGGCCTGTCTGCCATGGCTCCAGATCAGATGCAAGCTCCTGGCGGCCAGGCTGTGGCTCATCTTTCCTCTCCATGCTCACAGACATGCACTGTGCCAGTTGCCCGCATGCATAGGAACTGTACATGCATGCTTACACACTTGTATGGGACTGTGCACCCACAAGGACATGCATAGACAAACACTCGTGGGTTTACACATGGATCTGAGTGCATTCTTTATTACATGTTTACAAACCTACATTTGGAGGGTTTGTGCCCATGTCTAAGGGTCAGGCATGCTCATGTACATGGCTTACGACACACATAGAGTACACACACTGGGCATAAGGAGACAGGGTTATTCATAGCCATGGTTTACAGACATACGCTTGTGGATGTACACGTGTGGCAATACTGTGCTGTTGTGTAAGCGTAGGAACATTCTCTGGTGAGTTTCACAGGGCTCCGGAGTGCCCATGGACATGCTGACTCGGGCACACGGGCATAGTCACAAGTGTGGCAGGGTCGAGGTGGGGGTGAGGGGTCATCGGGGGGCCACTAAGGCTGGGTGACTCACACTGGGGCACCAGGGTGACCTCCTGCACATCATCGCCCAGCAGGTTTCGCAGCGTGCAGCGCACAGATAGCGGCTGATCCACGCGGCGCAGGCGCAGCGTGCTCACCACCTCGAACTGCTGCTCCTCCGCCCAGTACGTCACGTTAGTCTCCAGCTGGCTCGCCTCCTCGGAACTGTTCCCCAGCGGCGTGGGTGGCAGCTCGCGCGGACACCTGCCCAGGGAGCCAGCCAGGTCAGCTTGCAGGCCCTGCCCTCCGCAGGAGCCTCTAGGCTCCTTCCCGCTTCCTCACCCTGAGCTGGCTCTTCTGCGGTCCCTCGACTGACTGACCAGCAGGGGGCGCTCCTACCCCAGAACTGAGAAGCCCGATGATTCACAAATTCCATTCCCTTCGTTTGACCCTCAGAATAAAGTTAAGGAAAAGGGGGCAATTGAGGTCATGCAGGGCATCTCCACGAAGCCACATCTTCCAGGATGTGACTCTAGCCTGGAACAATGTGCCCGGAGGAAGGGGCTGGACCAGATGACCTTCCGTGGGTCCGTCCAGCCAGCTGTGGGTTCCCTGGGAGACTGAGGCAGGTGTTCCGCTCACCTTTTGAGGTCACTGCAGATAGACCAGGTGAGGTGCGGCTGAGGCATGCCCCGGCCGCGACAGCGGACGGTCTGCTCCCCGTCGGCAGGATGGCTCTCACTCAGCTCCAGCACATGGACAGGCACTGCATGGAGAAGGCATGGGGCCAGGCGGAGGGAAGGTCAGAGCAGGCAGGTAGTGAGCAAGATCCTCTGGGAGGCAGGACATGGTCCAGAGTCTCCCTGGGGGAGGGGAGCTGCAGACTGCAGGTGAACGTTAAATACTAGGAATCCCCGTGTGAAAACTGGCGGATTCCCCTTCGGGGTACTTCAAAGGGGAAGCCCCCGCAGGGTGATAGTCTGTCTTTAACACCTCTCAGAGACTTGCTAATCTCCCCTTTTAACAAAGAGAGAGCAGGCCTCGGGATCAGGGCCCTGGGAAGGCAAGAGCAGGGAGCTCGAGTTTAATAGCATCGCTTTGTTGTCTTGGAGTCGATTTAGTGGTGCTTTATATTTATGATGCTTAACAGTGTTTCCCATCCACAACTGAGAGGTTAACTTCTCTTTCAAAACACATTTTTAGAAAGTCAATGGGCAAAACATTAAGTCACTATCATGTCATTCCTCTGCTCAAAACCCTGCAGTGACTCTTCATTTTAGTCACAGAAAAAGCCCAAGTCCACCTAAGAGCCCACGAGGACCTGCACGATCTGTCCCGTCCACCCCACCACTGCCCTGTCCCAGCTCTGACCTCGTCTCCCACCACTCTCCCCACCACACTGTTTCGGCCGCTCAGGCCTTTCTGCCGTCACTCCTGTCTACACTGCCTGGTATGCCCTTTCCTCAAATAGCCACTCCTTCTTTGAGTCTTCACGCAACTGTCACCTCCGTGAGGCCAACCCCATCACTGCTATTTAAAAGGGCAACCCTGCCCCCCAGAACTCTCAATCCTCCCCCACACCCCACCTGGCAGCGTTTGCTTTTCCTTTCACAGCACTTGTTACCTTCTAACCTTCCACATAATTTGCTGGGGATTTTAGCCCTACTGTTGAATGTTTGTCTTCCCCCACCAGCCACACAAAGGCAGGGCCTCAAGAACCTTGAACAGACGGGCATACTGGAGTTGTTCAATAAGTACCTACTTCATGAGTAGTGTAGCTTAAGAGGCATGTGAGAAGGGAGAATCGTGGCATTGGCACATGAGTGCCCGAGGTTTTGAAACACCAGTCTGGCCCAGTGGCCAACTTGTACAGCTGGGGAAACTGAGCCCCAGAGAGGGGGTGTGCACAGAGCAGTGGGTCCGCGTCGGCGCTAAGACTGGAACCCTGTCTCCTGAGGCCCGGGCTCCCTCTCCTGCTCCTCCTAGGGGTGGGTGGGCAGTGTAGGGAGGGAGAGGAAATGG